GAATAGAGAGCAGCAGCCCTGGATGCAGAGCAATGCCTGAACAATAGCACAGCACTCGCCCTCTGCTGTCTTTAACTCTTTCCTACCTGAGCAGGCTTTCCTCTGCACGTGTGTTTGCTGCCTTGCAGGACCAGCCCTCAGACCTCACTGCTCGCACCGCACCAAGACAAAGAGGTAAGGCAGCAGGGATTGACAGGGTTGGGTATCTTGAGGTCAGCAAGGCTGATACTTCTATACAGCAACCACAATTAGAACCTCTGTATGGGAACGGTACCTCAGCACTGCCTTATCTCCACCTCTGTGTGTGACAAAACATCACGGTCTCCCTCAGAGGCATTCAGTTCAGTCAAAGTGGTTGTGGTACATTTTACGATTCTCAGTGCAGGAGGGGAAGATCTCAGTGCTCCCTTTTCCCCAGCGTTTGGGTTGGCTGCAGAAGTCAGGAGTTTGCAGCACAACCACTAATGTATCTGTAGGCTCAGTAAGCCTACACTTTTTTCATAGCAAGCTTGGAAATGCTGCAGTGCAGTGCCTGGAAAAGGCAATAATTATGAATAACTGGAACCGAACCCCATAGAAATGAACTTCAAAAAAAAAAAGATTCAGGTGGTGCAAAAACCTGTAGTGCAGTGAGCTGAACTGGAGCAGAACTCTGCCAGAGAGGAGTGAGGGGCTACAGCCCAAGGCCTCCACTGAGAGCTCTCTGAAAGGAGTCCAGAGCCCAGGTTCCAAAGGTTCCAAATCAGAAGTGTAACCTGGGCAAAAAGCAAAGGGGCAAAAAAACACAACCAGTCTTCTTGGGTCCACTGCCCAGAAGGGACACAGACATCCTAGGCTGGTTTTTAGGTGCGACCAAAACTCAATTTGTGCAAACAGGGAGGGAAGGAGGAGACTGCACCCTTACTTCAGAAGCTGTGACAAGAAAATCTTTAATTATGCCACAGCTCTTTGAACATTTACATTTTCCAACCGAAGGCGCACTGTGAAATTGGGAGCTCTCAGTTCAAACTAGTTCATGGATGTTTCTCCTGGAGGTTTTGTTACCCTGTGGGGATTTCTTACCCTAACAGCAAAGAGCCGTGCAGCATTCACAGCTCTTCTCAAAAGAGAAGCTACACCCCATGCCCCTTGAAAAATAGGTGACAAATAAGAGCCTGGAAGAACTAGAGCACAAAATTGTTGCCCTAGAGAATAGGGTTAAAAGGCTGAAGATTTGCACTCAGCGATGCCTGCAGCAAAGCAGATGTGACCAAACAAGTGCAAACAGCTCCTAGAGTTTTGAGATATTTTCCCTCAAAAAAAGAGCTCCCACACTTCAGGAGGGCAACAATAGAACAGCAGGATGTTTGCTAAAGAAGCGTTAAAATGCTAAAAGGATTCCAGTCCTCTGCAGTTCGAGGCTGACACAGCGAGAAAGAGAAGAAAAGAGGAGACAATGAGTGCTAATAAAAACAACAGGCGTCGTTTTAAAAGACTACACCAACATTTAGCATTCAGGCGGCACGGTCTCCAGAACAAAAGCCCCAGGTTGAGGACAGACTCCTCTCTAATGTTCCTAAGAACAAAGGCATGTTGACACAAGTTACTCATCTCACTAATATGCAATTTGTGAATCAGCAGGTTTAAATCAAAGGTGAGCTCGTTGCTAATTAGATAGATCAGGTTCACGTACTAAAACAGATCCCAATCAAAGCAACAAAATCAAGACTTATTCAAATGAATTTTCTTCTCTAATCGCAAATCTAGTCTGACCAACTCCCTGCTGCATGACTCTGCACTCAACCACTATAGGGCAGTTGCTTTCAATCAACTTTGCTAGCACCTGCCAGTCTGGTGACACTGACTATTACCTGCTAAAGTAAATGAGCTGGCAGATACCGGGTAAGTTAGCACAGGAGCCTGGATGTACCTGTCAGGTAATTACTGTCCTGTAAGAAAGACAATGCATCAGTCTACAGTTCATCCACTTTGGTGAGAAGGATGGTTTGAAATGTTTTTTGGTGAGGTTTTTTTTTTTTTTTTTGCAGCTCTGATTTTCAGGAGACTGAACAGACCACAGCTTCCAGTCAGGCTGCCGTGACATAAAGCAACTGCTTCTTGGTTTTGTGTTTCAGTTTAATTTGTATAAATAAAATTACTGACACCTTCCTTTCATTCCACAGTGGCCCTGGAGATAGAAAACTCTGTTACCACCATCAGACCTCTTGGAATGCGACTTTTTAGGAAGATCCCGAATTCTTCTTTTATTTTTCCAGAACTATTGGTCCACTACTAATGACAAACACACTGATGTGAACTCAGGCTCCAGCGTATTTCCCTTATTGCAGAGGAACAAAACACTGTTACCCGATGTAAACCATCCTCCAAATAGCTGTCATAAAACCCTACTGTTTATCTCAGGGAAAGACACCCGGGATTACCTGCCTTTGTCTCTGGATGGTGCCTTTGTCAATTTAACTTCTGCTCACACATCACCATGGGGATGGCAATGGGAAGGAAGCACTGGGATGAAGGCACACAGCCTTCCCGTGGTCCTCACAGTGCTCAGTCCCTCGGGCCTTTGGGATCACAGGGACTTTGGTTCCTAAAGGCACGGGCAGAGCTGTGCTGTGCCCTGGCAGCACTTCATGGCCTGCTGTCAGTGCCATCACTGAACGAGGACACGTAAAGCTGTCATTCAGGTCCCACTTTATCACCAGAACTGCCACACAGCCTGTGAGCACCCCCACAAAGGGCCCACGCAGGAGCTGCAGCTCTCTCTGCTGTCATGGGACACTGCAGGAGTTCAGCACCCACCGTTCCTCACTCACACACTGCACCATTTCTCCATTTTCAGTCTTCACGCCGAGGGGTTAAAGAACAGAATTTAGATCCGTGTTATCAGCCACGCACACAGCAGCAGTGTGAGCTCACCAGGGAGCATCTGCCCCGCGCAGGACGTTCCCCTGACGCCCAGCTCAGCGTTCAGAACAGCCCCATCTCTCTGCCTTGAGCCCATGAGCAAACAGGCTCAATGGAGCTGTCTGTGGAGCCAGGTGGCGCTCACCTTCCCATTTTCACCTGTTTCCCCATCTCTGACCTTCCCCCAGCCCACGTGCGAGCAGTTCTGGCGCTTCCCAATGATGGGGACGGGGACGGAGCCCCGCGAGCAGCACAGCGAAGCCGGAACGCGGCGCTGTAAGCGGCGCCGCTCGACCGGACCGCACACACGGGGGAACCCATTGGCAAGCGCTGCCCCTTCCCCGTTACCACTTCCGGGTCGCCTCTCAGAGGAGCGATCTGCCATTGGGCAGCCTACCGGAAATCCCGCCTCTCCCGCGCGCCGTACCACCCGCGCAGCACCGCGGCACTTCCGGCTGTGGCCATGGTGACGGGGGCTGCCAGGTACGCGCCGCGCCCTCACGCTTCCCCCGGGGCTCCTCCTGTCCCTTCAGCGGCCGGCCAACTCGGCTCCACAGGGCGGGCCGCGGGGCGACTCGGAGAGGTGGAAGTGGGCCGGGAGGGGCTGTGTGGGAGCGGCCAGGCCGCGTGCGGGGGGGAGAACAGCGGGTAGGTGCCGGGATTTGGGGGTGGGAACGAAGCTCCGAACCGAATCAAAGAGGCGGGAAGATTTGTGCGAAAATATTCGTCAGATACAGCGCGGCTTCTAGAAGTGCGTTTTACTCCTCTTTCTGTGACACTGAGCAAGGTTGCTCTAACGATTTTCTATGACCGCGTTCAGTTATTGAAACACAGCAGATCTGCGTTGTTTCGGGTAATAGCCATCAAAGCAGCACGCCGAGGCTGTGCTGTTAGAAATTAACCCCAACTGTTGGAACACGAGTTTACCCACCTGGGCACACCTCAGGCCATTGGCTGCCCCTTGGTGCCACCAGCTCAGAGCAGAGCTCACAGCTGCAGAGCCCTGCCTGCTCCGTGGCACTTCTCACAGCCACAGCTGCCATTGCTGCTTCTGAGAACTCCAGCTGGGTTCAGGCACTCTGAATTCTCACATGAAGGAATTCAGGCAGAGCAGTTCTATCCAGCATCTGGATTCCTTCTTAATATTTGTGTATTTTTGACATGATTTTCTGTTTGTAAGAGTAAAAATAAGTACTGCGAGCATAGACTGGCATTTCATTAATTCAACCATTTGAATGGAGTCATTGTTTTTTCCTCGCTAGACTTGAGCTGAGGTTTCTGAAACTTGTTCTACCATTTATGGGGATCTTTTGTATCAGAAAAATTGTCAGCACATTTCCTGTTTGCTTATATTTAATCACTGATTTTTTCTCTCTTTTTTTTTTTTCCTCTGCTCTAAACATCTATAAGTTTGATTTTAGTTTCTTTCTAAAGTAGTTGGGTCACTGAAAATGTTTGGGTGATGCAAGTAGTTTTCACTTCTCTTGGCTTGAAAAAGACTTAGTAAGTTTGGTCAGTGGGACAAAACACCCATTTCTCTCATAAATACCAGGTTCTGATGCACCACGTGGTACAAAACTCCTCTGTATGTTCACTTGGGCTCAAAGTTCTCAAGAATCCTCAGGAAAGAAAAAAAGTCTTTTTCTTTTAATTAGCAGAGCAGCCGTTTTAGAACACGCACTATTGCAGTGCTGTAATGGGATGATAATAGCAGGATGGCAGTCTTTAGCTACAGCAAATGAGAAAAAGCCCAAATACAGCAGCCACAGATACAGAAATGAAGGAAAAACAGCTGCTTACCTTTAGAAGGCCTCAGTGCAGGTAGGGATCTCCAGCAAGAGATCCTCCCACCTCTATTGCCTTAAATGAGGTTTGGGACAGGGTGGATCCTGGCAGTACCTTCCAGTCACTCAGATGCATTGCACACACCTGAACTCCCCTGGATTGGCCCTGCCTTCCCACCAGGTGCTCAATCACTGCTTCAGGCCCTGACTTAGCATTGCCACAACTATAAAATCAGAGTATGCCTTGAAACTAATTCAAATAAGAGTTATAACTTATTTACAAGTTGCTTTTTTTTTTGTTATTTATTTTTATTTTATTTTATTTTTTAAACACAGCTCTGTCTTTTTCATGTGTGGGTTAAGTTACCCCTGCATTTCAAAGGTCACAGAGCATATTCCTGAGGCTTGTTTTTAGAGGCTGTGCCTGCATTGGGCAGTGCACACTTTCTTGGATTGCTGCCATTTTGTAATTGAAGTCAGATCTGTCCTGTGAAAAGACCAGAAGGAGACACCACCTCATAGAGGCACTGGCAAGTGAGGCCCCTTCAAAGGTACGATATTGTGCTTTCTTCAGACTAAAGTGGGTCAGTAATAGCTTAGAGCTGTTGTGATTCTGGATGAGTTCTTCCTTAAGAAAAATGATTTTTTTTTCCTTCCTTCCCTGAGCTCCCTTTAAATGACACCTTTTGATCTCTGAAAATAGCCTCCCAGTTGCTGCCATTTGTCACAATGTGATTCTAGGTGGCCAAAACTAAAGGAGAATAGATCTTGTTTAAGGAAACTATCAGGGTTTTGGTTTTTATTTTTTTTATTAGCACTTGATCTCACCATTGCTGCCTTTAGTGCACTTTTGACCTTACTGACCTCCTTTTTTCCTCTGAAATCCTCCTAGCTTTTACAGGATTACATCCAGTTTTTGTTTTAAGGGGAATGTTTTTCTTAACAGATATATGTGATTTATTTTACATGAAACCTTTCCAACAGTTTCCAATCATCTGTGTTTGGTTTTCCATTATCAGTGATATTTTTTTCTTCTCTCTAATAATCTGTACATTCCAATCCTGTGTCTTGAGATGAAGAACTGAGAATTTCAGGAGTTCATTTGAACCAATAATGAGTAGCAGCTTCTCTCCTGCAGATAACTTGATATCATTCTTAATGGTAATGTTTATAAATAACAGATCCTTGCTTTTTTTCAATGCAAATAGCCAAACTTCTGAACTAGTACATGAGAGCAAGGAAAAACCTATTACTTTTGGTATGAAGTGTTGAAGGAATTCTTTATTCTTTACAAAACAGTTCAGCTATAGGTTCTCCTCTTTCTTTTCTCTTTTTAGCTTGATTGAGCTTTATTTGTTCTGGGGCTCTGTTATGGAGCTGTTTGAGTACCTTCCATGACAGATACCTACAGCTGTATGACCTAATTAAGAAAGATCTGTACCTTTGATTAGCTGCTGCTTCGCACTTCTGCTCTTCCTCATCCTCTGCTTCTCCTCCCTTTACACAGAGGAGTTTTCTGTTGTTATTTGTTATTTCAAACCACAGAATTGGATTGTAGTTGTTGATTTGCTGCAACCTTCAGACAGAGACTGGCAAATTTGCCCCATTCCTGTGTATGATGTGAACAAAAAGAAGAGAAAGAAAAGCAATAAAAGACTTGCAAAGATTTTCAAACAGAGAAGATTAAGTGCAGACCTTTTCTGTTCAGAAAGTAGATGAATAATAAACAATATGATTAAGGAATAAGTTAGGCAGGTAGAACAGGTTCACACTGATGACTGATGGATGCTACATGACCAAAATGCAGTTAGCTTTTAGATGGTGGGCATGGGGGTTCTTTTCCACCAGCCCCTGTGACAGAGTTGGGTGTAAATTCAGTCTGCATTTTGCCAAAGAACAGGAAGGAATCATGCTGAAATCAAACATGGGAACCTCTCCCACCTCCTGCTATGGCTTAGCGAGGATAGGAGTCAGAAAAGCTCCTGGTTAGTTTGTCATCTGCTCTACATTGCTGTCTGCATTTTGCCAAAATCTGAAGCAAAGTTGGTCAGGGCCAGATTTCTAAATGTGTCAGTTTCAACTTGAGCTTTGTAAAGGAACTGCCACCCTTCCTGTCAGCTCCCACTTTGGAAATAATTAAAGGTCTTAAAAGGGAGCTGAATATTTTTGACTCTAGAATGGCCCTGTAAGGCACACTGGTCAATGTCAGCACCTGCTGTCCCTGCCCACCTCTTGTCTTCTGAATCTTAAGAGACCCTTCAGAGCAAAAAAGGACAATTTAAAGAGGCAGCTGCTTTAAATGCTTTAAGCAGCACCCCCTGCTTATCCAGCCTAAAGAAGGGCAGTGACCTTATGTCTAAACAGCTCCTTTCCAAGGATTATTCTGGGGGGACGTGCACTCTTCTCATTTTAAATCTGTCTTCTCCTGTAAATCAATACAAAATAGCCACAGTGTGTGCACATTTCACACAAAGAGGTGAAGAAATAAGATGCTGAACAGCTGAGTGATGTGCTTGTGCACTGCCTTTCAGTGGAATTAATTTCATCCCCCTTCTGGGTTTCTGATTTCCACTTTAGGCATACTCCCTGTGCCCCAAGGGAGCCCATGGCCTGGACATCTGCATTGTGTTACACAATGAAGTGCTTTGTAGAGATACATGAGTTAGCTCAGTAATGGGAAGTTCCATAGTAGCAAGAGAAAAGCTGTGTACTAGCTTGATGGTTTTTGTTTTAGACCTCATCATGCCTGTTTAGAGCTAGCTTAGTTATCTTTGTCTTATTTTACAGTGTTCTAGCTATTCCTCTGGAAATACTTGATAGTTCATTACTGGTTCAGCAAGGTAGCTTTCTTTATAACAATCAGAAGCATGTAGAGATATATCTCAGCCCTGAAGAACTTTAAATTTGAATACACAGTTGTACAAGGAGGGAATTTGGAGCAAAACAGAAAAGCCTGTGGAAACAGCATCTGTGGATCCAGGTTTGTTGCATGACAAGGTCCAACTTATAGGATCCAACACCAAACGTCCTGCTGAAAGACCCTTGTAATGGAAGTGAACACATGTTCGTATTTGCATTTTAATGCTATAATTGGGTTCTGATGTGATCTTTTGAAAGTCTAGACTCTAGATCATGTGTCCAACTTGCTTGTTTTATGTTTTAATAAAAGGAATATTTTAAAAAGGTGTTGTTACTTATGTACATTAACTACGTTACCTGTTTTATGTGTGGCCCAAGACAATTCCTCTTCCCTCAGTGCAGCCCAGGCAAACTATTGGACAGCCATGCTCTAGATGCAGGGTTGAGGAAATCAGTTGAAGACGACTCTGTATGGGATTTGGTTTATTGGTGGTCTAAGGCAGGGGTAGGAAAAAGCATTTTTCAAGGGTTTTCAAGCTTCTGCTAATTCTCTTATTGGTAAAACAGTCCGTTTCCTTCACCTAGGAAGGCTGTTCAGAAAGGAAGACTCATGGATCTCACATCCACTGTTATCATCCCACTGCTCTTTGGCAGCCTGGGGATCTTCTCCCTTTTCCGGCTGCTGCAGTGGATGCGGATGCGCGCTTACCTCCGAGGAGCAGTGGTGGTGGTCACAGGGGCCACCTCTGGCCTGGGAAAAGGTAGGTATGGACAGCAGGGTGCCAAAGGCAGGACAGGGAGCGGGCTGTGGGAGGGGGTCCTGCTGGAATAAAGCAGTAATGAGCATAAAGTTCCTTTAGTTTTCATTTTTGAGAGAGAGAGCGGGTACAGCTATGGCAGTTACAGCTAGGCCACTGCTAATTCTGGTGTAAAAATAGTCCCAGCATTTGTAGAGAAAAATTCTGACCACCCTGTATAATGCAGAACCCATTAAAGTAAGAAACACGTTGTGCTTCTTTGTGCCATTCAGGAGCCTTTTCTATAAATCCTGAAAAAGCCAAGAAGTCAGACTTTTTCTCTAAATCTTCCCAGGAATTAGCATTCTGCATTTGTTGGTGCATTTTGGGATGCCCTGTCATCTTTTCCCCTCATCCCCAAGTTAATGTACCTTTTCTCTTCTGGTATAAATCCAGAAATTTAAAAACTCTTGGCAATATTAACACAACCTTTTTCCAAATAAACCCCCCCCCTTTTTTTTTTTCCTCCAAATCAAACACTTTTTTTAATGTGAGTGGATACATTTCTAACTCTGCTTTAATTTAAATAGAAAAAATTGCTTTAAAAAGCTTCTTGAAGGGAAGAAAGCACACTCTGCCATCAAGGCCTTTCATTAGGATGAGTACACTTGGAGAACAAGCAAAGCTTAAATTGCTGCATTTGCTTGTGAGTTTGTCCTTAAGGACAAAAGTGTAACTGAATGGCGAGGAGATGGAATTGATTTCTCTGCCTGTCAGAACCAAAAGGCTGATAGCAGAAAGATAATTTTTATTTCTCATCAAAAAGAGCTGGTATCTCAAGGCAGTATCTCAAGGGAGACCTTCCAGCTGTGATATGCTGTGCAGATGAAGTGTTGCTGGGTGTTCCTTTCCACTCTCTTCCTTCTCAGGAATAATAAACCACTGCCCTAGACCCTTGCCTACCTAAAGGGTTTTAGCCTACAAGATGTCATGTGGATCTGCTGTTTGTCTCTGGCATTCAGATGTCCACTTTTCTCTTTTTCTTGCTTCCTCCAAAGAATGTGCAAAGGCCTTCCATGCAGCTGGCTCCAGGCTTGTGCTCTGTGGCAGAGACAGTGAGAAACTCAAAGACCTGGCACAGGAACTTTCTGCCATGACTGATCACCGAAAGAATGTAAGTGCATGAGGAAGAAAGGCTCGCTGTCCCATGCAGCTGGGATTGGTATTTGTGCTAGCACAGAAGTTAGAGTTGCTTGTGTGTTGTTCTGTTGAGCAATAGGTTGTGGCTGGGGATAGATATTGCTATGGGAGTGCTTTGAGCTGCCATGTCCAAGTTTGCAAAAAGCCTACAGAAGTAAGCCAGCTGAAAGACCCTTACCTTGTTATGGAAGAGAACACATGAAGTGAGCAGAGTCCCCAAGACCTACTGCATCTGTACACTATGATGTCACTTCTCAAGGTTTGCTATGTCTTTGCTTTTGTTTCTGAAGTCTAGCTCTGCTGGCTGTGGATAAGAAAGATATTGCTGGCTTCCGAAGTAAAACAGGAGTTGCATTTTTTTTACTACATTAGATACAGTTTCTTAGGTAACAAAACAACAAACTGTGCACCTGAGGAAGATCTCACTTGTCCTTTTCTTCTATCTGATGCAAGGAACAGGCCACATGAGCAGAAAAAGACCAGAGTACAAGCTGCTTCTGTCACATATTCCTGTGCAGTAACCACCACACTGATTGAAGGAGGTTTGGATGGCCTTCTCTTTGAGTCATGAGCACAAGCACATTTAGCACACCCCGAACGGTCTTTCTGCTAACTTTTGTTTTTCAGATACACAAACCTCACACTGTGGTGTTTGACCTCTCAGACACTAAAACCATTCTGAATGCTGCTGAAGAGATTCTGAAGTACCTGGGTCATGTGGACATACTGATCAACAATGCAGGCATCAGTTACCGAGGCACAATTGTAGACACTGGTCTGGATGTGGACAAAAAAGTGATGGAAACAAATTATTTTGGTCCCATAGCCCTCACCAAAGGTACCTATCATTCACATTATAGGGGCATAATGGCTAATACCTTATGAAAGCCAACACAATTAAGAACACCTTAACTGCTATTTGTAATTGTATTTGGTAGAATACTGTATGAGGGGAGGAGAGTTTTGTTTTATGGGCACATATGACATTGATATGTGGGTATGACTGTATGGGAGGTACAGGATTAGAGATGATACCTTGCTTAAAACACCTCCTGACTTGAGTCTGGAAGGAACTTTGGCTAGTCTGTCTGTTCTGATGAAATCCTGGGGGAATGGAGTTTGGGTTCAAGGTGAGGCTGTAAGCTTTCGTATAAGGCTTCTCTGGTTGTATAGAAGATTCAGCCTGGAGGGTGTCAGCTGTAAGAACTGTAAAGATGCACTGGTGGCAGAAGAGAGCAAGTTCTCTTTACCATAGCAACTATAAGGCCTTTGTGCAACCTCGTTGGCAACAAGTCACCTAATAATGTGAATGTCCCAGTTTCAGTTACAAGTACCCCAAGCACCATGCCTTGCCCAACCCCTGCCCTGAATGAGGATCTTGTCATGTATTCACTTAGGCTTCTCTGAAGCACTACTCTCTGAAAGCATACATTTTCAACAGCAATAATGATCAGACTGTTACTCTTTCTTGTCTCTTGCCAGCACTTCTCCCTTCCATGATCAAGAGGAGACAAGGCCATATTGTGGCCATCAGCAGTGTTCAAGGCAAAATAAGCATTCCTTTCAGATCAGCATGTAAGTACCTCCACAGAAGATGGGAAAGACATGCTTGGGGCACCAGGCTGAATGAAAGATTGCACATTTAGTTCTCCATGCAGCTGGCTGCGTGCAGAGAAGGCAGGGCTGTGAATCTGTGTGGTGACCACACTAAGAAACCTGTGGCAGCTGTTGAGGAAGGCACACACAAGTACAAAGCCCTATCTTGAATATGTTTGGGGATGGGAGAGAAGAATAAGGAATGTGATTTTTTTTGCTTAGAATTCTAGTCTTGCAAACTGTTTCATATTTCTACCTTATTTCTTCCTTATCTGGGAGTCCTGTACATTTTCTATCCCTCAGGAGTAATTAGTTTGCTAATTTTATTATATTTTTTCCTTGTTACTTGTCTGATTAATTTCCTATAAAAAAGTAAGAACTTTTTGGCTTAAGTTATGAAGTGCCATGGTACAATTGATAGCAAAATGAAAACCTAAACAGTTACCTTGGACCCAGAAAAATCTGCACACTAAATCAGATATACCAATAAACTACATTGGTGAGATTACTGGAAAAAGTCTTGGAAAAAATAGAGGATCTAAGAAAACAGTATTTGGCATAAAAGCATCTGTAAATTATTGAAAATAAACAGGAAGAAGAAAACATACAGTGGAGGTGATATACATGTGGTAGAGCATGGTATTGAGTGAAGGAGAGCTTGGAATGTCTGGGCCATCATGGCTTGCAGATGGTGTGGGTATGATTGCAGCAAGATGTGTGTTCTGAAGAGCTTCCAGAATGCTAGCAGACTGACCAGAGCTGTGTGGGTCAAGCAGCATGAAGCTCAGCTTTTGTTTATAGGTCCTCAGACAGAGCATGTACTAAGCTCTGTGCTTGTTGCTGTCATCCCTGAACCATGCTGAGGTGATGGCTGTCACAGCATGTCAACCAAGTGCACATGGAAAGCAAGCAAGTAAAGGAGCCATTCATCCATTGAACAGGAAAATCCTACTCTAGGGCACGCTATGTGCTTGTGTGATCAAGTGTGCAGCCAAGTTCTGAAGTCCCTAATGCTCAGTGCACATAGGGCATCGTGTTCCCTCAGCCTCAATCAGTCTTATCCAGTGCCTCCCAAGACAGCCTTCATGTTACTTTTATCATGAGTCGGAGGCCACTTGGGTTCACTCCATAGTGGCTTTGGCATGGCTGTGAGATAATAAGTTCAGAATTCTAGCCAGTTTCCAACTTGAGTATTTACATTTTTGCCTACCTGAATTGCCTCTGAATTCCACTACCTCTTGCTGGCATTCACTAAAAACAATTAAAAGCTAGCAAACAGCTGCTGAGTTCTTGCTTAGAAGTGGCTGCATTCTGGTGAAAAGTGCACTTGGGGATAAATTGTTCCCCATATCTTCTTTTAGCACATATCCTTTGTCCTGTTTTTCAGATGCTGCCTCTAAGCATGCTACCCAGGCCTTCTTTGATTGCCTGCGAGCAGAGGTTGAGCAGTATGACATTGATGTGACAGTTATAAGCCCTGGATACATTCAAACAAACCTTTCTCTCAATGCTGTAACAGCAGATGGATCTCGCTATGGAGGTGAGATATGGTTTTGTGTCCTATACCTAACACATTTCTACCTCACTGAGTTACTCCAAAACATGCTTGCAGCACATGGCCTCTGGTGGAGACATAAGTTAGCCCTGAAGTATCAAAAGAAACCTTTGGATCTAGCCTTCCTAATCAGCAATGACCTTGGGGTCACTGAGGTTATTAAGGTATTTTATAGGGCAGATCAATCTAAGCATTGTCTTTGAAGGACTCTGCCATTGTTCCTGAAGCTTTCAGTGCATTTGGAATCAACACTCAGTAAGAGAAGGACATATTGGAGCATTTGGCTCCAAACTTTAATTGAGAGATAGGCCACAAGGCTTGTTGTGTACTGCAGCCTGGGTATTGGAAGGAGCATGTACTCATTTCTAGCTCAGCCATGATTTATACCTGCCTGTGTAAAAACCAAGAAGTAGAACAGCAACCACATACAGCTACATCGTTCCTTGAAAGGGTATTTAAGTGTGGGCTTACCTTCCAGTGTTGATGCTTGCTTGGCTTTGCTTTGACAGTTATGGACAAGAACACCGCTGAAGGCCAGACAGCTGCAGAGGTCGCTCAGGTGGTTCTCTATGCAGTGGGGCAGAAGAAGAAGGAAGTCCTCGTAGCTGGCCTAAAGCCCTCCCTGGCTGTATACCTACGAAACCTCTTTCCCAGGCTTTTCTTCAACTTAATGGCCACTAGAGCAAAAAAGGAGAGAAAAACAAAGGACTCTTAGAGCTCAGCTCATTTGAGCAGTAACTGTAGGGAGAGAGTAACGTCCTGCAGTTTGGCTGGGACATGAGTGGAAGTGCTCCTGTGGGAAAAAACCTTTCTCTAAATGCTGCAACTTACCATTGCATGGAGAGTGAGAAGCAGTGTCCCCCACAACAGGGCAGGCCCACATGCCAGAATACAGCACCTAAACCTCCCTGAAGAAGGGTGCTTGGAACAAAGTGTGGGAGCTGAGGCTGCAAGGAAGGGTAACTGTAGGTATGTACACACTTCACAGCAGGAGAAACCCATGTGCTGAAAGACACTTTACCTCACCTCAGGCACGCTCAGCTTTACTGCCTGCTACAAACAACCCACTTGGTTTGCCTTCATGACCCCCATGGCCTCTGTGAAATACAGTCCCCAGCTGAGAGCTCGCATGATCAGTGTCTCCTTCCCACTCCTTCCAATCTCATCCAAAACGCATTGCTTGAAGTGGAAAACTTCTGAGCCTCTGCTTGTTCATGTGCCAAACCATCTGATATGTTAAGCTAAAGCTAAGTCCAGTGCCATTTTTAAAAAGTAACTGATGTAGAATGCAGGTTTTATTTGGAAATGATGTTATCTGTCTGATTCATGCCTTACTGAGGTGTGGGGCTGTGACACTCTGTGCCACCTGACAACACAGTGTTAACACAACACAGGTTAATGTAGGAGTAGCATCAGACAGATATAAAATAACAGGGCAGCTATTAGCTGATAGATACCTGGTCCACCTGCCTGCCTAGAACAAAGAGTAAGTATGATTCTTTAGATGCTAGGCACACCATATTTCTGGCAAGAAGGATCTGTGTGTAGGGTGGATAATGCAGGAGACAGACCCTTAGTTCTCACCTGACTTAAAACAGTCCCAGGTGCCAGTTAGGATCACACATCCAGGGAGAGGAGGAGAGCTGCTTGTACAGATAGCACAGGTTTCAAGTAGTTCTTCAGCCTGAATGAATGCCATACTCCATTCTTCACCCCTTTGCATTTCCACACTGCATAAAACTTGTTCCTCCTCCCAGAGAAGATGTATCCTGCCCTGTGTGATCCCAGCAATGTTGGGAAAAATAAATGGCTGCACTGAGATGGTTCAGAAAACAGAAATATATAAATTGAAAGAAAGCTTATGAGGTCCAGACCCCTGCTGCCACCTCCATGCACTTAGCAGCACTCTCCCAGTGTACTGCCTTGTATGTCCTGCCTGTGAGTGTGTATCTGATGACAAATAAATTACATTGCCATAAACTGCACCCTGTGTTCTGTTTCAGCTCCTCACTTCAGGATTAACTTTGGAGGAAGGGAAAGCATCAAAGAACAGCTTCTGTGAGGTGTTATGTGCCGGCAGTAGTTGCAAAACAACATACTTCATCCCAGCCCTCTTTTCTATCACCTGCTAGTTTACAATAGGCAGTGTAAATCCACAGAGGATTAGTGAAGTTAAAAGTCTGATACAGAAGCAAAGGGTCTGCAGGACCTTCTTCATAAAGTCTATTTTTGCCCAATAGGTTTATGATCAGTCCCTGAGAACTTCATTTCAGATGATCACCAGAATGTGTTTAATGACTACAACACTGCTGCTCAGTTTGGATGTCCTCCACCACTATTATGGTGGAGGCTGTCAATTTGTTATATGAAGGCTTCGAGTTGAAATTACAAGCAGAAGCTCTGGAATCTTTTTTTTCCCTGTTAAATTACAAAACCAAGGCATTACCTCCTTTCTCTCTCCACAAGGAGAGCTTCTCTAATTGTTACTCATGCTTTCCCTTTCATGTTCTGCACGTTTGGGTCTTTCACAGTGAAATACAGCACTCCTGCCAGTCTTGTCCAGCTGCTGTCTGCTGATGTTTCTAATCATGGCAGCTCAGGAAGGAGGAAGGGGCTGCTTTGCATTTCTGTGTTATCTCCCAGAGTGCTGAGGGATATAATGCATCAGGCCTAAGGAAAAAAAAATACATGCAGGGGTGTTATTGTGGTTACTGTACACAGAACTGCAGCTCTAAGTCAGAATACAAAGGGTGTGCACATTCCCCTTTGAGAGCAAAATCCCTCTCTGCAGCAAGAGGAGTGCAATGCTCTCCATTTCAGAGCGTCTCCTTGGTGGTCAGGATGGGCAGCAAAGCATGCAGGGCACTTGAAAACAAGAACCCACATCTCCACTTCAGAACGTGATGAAAGGTGTGTTTTTAAAACAGGCCTACCTGTTGCAACAGCTGGTTTTTCACTTTTCCTTCTGCAGTAAGAGACCACAGTAAACGTGCACATTTTTAACTGCAGAGCATTTGATGCAAGTTGTGCTCTTAAAGAGCCTCCCAAAGGTTAGTTCTTCTGTCACAGTGATCATTCCAGGCAAGGGGAAGCTTGACACCACAAAAGGTGCCAGGACCTTTGTGTTTGGGTGAAGAAAGGAAGCTAACAGCCCGAACAGTTCTTCTGCAAGCACAGGAATATCTTGTGTGGCTAGGACAAGGATACTTGGGGGCCTTCTGCAGCAGTGAAGTACATACTAGCTGCAGCAGATCCACCGCTAGTTTAAAATTATCCAAAAGATAGGCAGGATTTTAGGAACAAGCAACACCAGAACCTGAAAAGCAGCCTGCCCAGCAGTCTCAGGCTAACTGCAGAAAGATGAAGTAATTGCATTTCTTCCTCTCCTCTCTGCCAAGGCAACTGTATGTTGTTGCTATAAATAGAGACGCTCTGGATCTCAGCTTCTTTTAACCTTGGAGGGGAGGCAACTCATCCACTGTACCAGCAAAAGAGGCCAAGGTTTTAAACACAGAAAACTCCTGATGCCACAGCAATTCCCTCTAACCTACGTGCCTGCTTGGGTACGGCTGCAGCCCAGAAGTGAGGGGGACATCACACTGCCTGCTGCTGTGATTTGAAAAGAGAGAAATGAATTTGGTTTCTGATCTCACGAGTCTCCCTTCCAAGGTCAGCGCTTCAGATGCGGTGATCAGACTGCAAATATTATTTAATTAAGCAGCACACCTGTATGCAGGCAGGTTTTATTACAGGCCTTTGCTGCTGTATTCAGATCATAAGGTTATCCCTTGAAGCTGTGCTAAGCTGGCATTATAAAAGTAGGCCACACCTATTTTCCATCAGGTAGGAGGAGAATAGATAGAAAGCAAGCTCCTGTCTTTAACAAGCAAGTGGCAGATCTTGCAAAACAGTAACATTTTCCCTTCTTAGAGGTAAAAGTTAAATTAATGCAGTAGACTGAATTCTAGAATTTCAGATAATACAGTGGCAAGATACAGTCATCTAGATGCCTTGAAGCAGCTGCATTAGTTCACGTTCCAAGCCAGACCAGTGGAATTGTGTGGTCAGGGCACAGCTGTCCAAGTGGCAGTGAAAAAGCACAGGTACAACAGCTGGGCTCCCACCTTGGCAGTCCTGAGCTGCATTTGGTACAGCAAACTTCAATGGAGATGTATCCATGTTAGGAAGAACTTGTACAGCAATTTAGTGTAATGCGCTTTTAGCTGGAAACTGTGTTGAGATCAACACTGTGCAAAGGAATAACAGCTGGAGGAGGGCAGGGCAGCAGAGGGTTTGGATATCTCTAGCGCCCAGCATCCACAGTTATGTGACCACCAAAAAGATAGCAACACTGGCCTAATTAGTGCACCTTCTTTCAAGAAACACAACTAGTCAAGCAAGAAAAAAAGCACCACCACACTCCAACAATTCCTTCAACAGACAACTTGGATGCTGCTGCCATGTGCAGTGGGTGAGAGGTGTGTCAGGTCTGGGTGTGGGCACGAGGATATAATCATCACCACAGCAGCACCCAAAAGGGAGCTATCTTAACAGTAATGAGAGTGCAAAATCATTTGAAATTCTCATCCTTTAATGGTCAATGATAACGTCTGGCTGGTTCTGTGTAATACAATTAAACAATATACTTAAATGTTTCAAAAAAGAAAAAAAAAGCTCTCACCCTCCCCTCCCTCTTTATCTTTCTTTCATTGACACTCCACTGCTGGACTGGACTCCCCATGGCTAACATACAGCTCTCAAGTCACCACACATCCAAATCTTAAGTGAAACGAAGAACTGAAAAACCTTGGTGCACCAGTGATGTGTTATTTTAAAAATAACAGCTCTATTAAACCAACTCCTTGCCAGTCTCCACTGCTTCTCAAAGAGGAAAAACAAAATGTTACTGTGGGAGTCTTAATACACTTGTCTCTGTAGGCTTCTCTCTTCCCTGCCGAAGTCATACAGCGTAGAGTTCATAGATCTTCTTTACACAGTACACCAGGGCAGCGAGTGCTATCGTGTTATGCAGTCTCTTTCTGTGCAGGTCGTCCTTCCTCACCAGCACCACCGGAGTGGAGGAGGTGAGCGTATGCAAGGGCAGGCGGGAAAGTTTATAGGCATCATACTCTACTTGATACTTGCAACAGGGATCGAACTGCCAGGAGATACCATAAAGGGTGCAGCAAGCCATGCTCAGCACACCAGCAGGCAGCGAGATGTAGTGAGAATAATCTACTGGAAGTGCCAAAGGGGTGAAGAGGCAGGTGGTGCCTGCTAACACGGCCGTCTTGTGCAGGCAGTTCCCAACGGTGATCCAGCGTGCCGTCTCATCCCCGATGCGGGTGGGCTCTATCACTATGTATTTGTACTGTGCTTCCAGGGCCTGCTCCAGCTCGTACTCAAACTGGTCCTGAGCATTCTCTCCATTGTAGATCTCATGCACGATGTAACAGTCTGTGGAGGACAAGGTGACCCTGTCAACAGGAAAAACAGAATTAAAACTGCAGCACTTGAAGACAGATTTTTCACCCACATGGTTGCAAGAGCTCAAGAGAAAAGTACCTGAAGTCAGGGCAGCCCCTCAAGGTCATTCAGGCACTGCAGCTTTTTCAAATCAAGATTAGTCTTACATCGGCTAATTATGCTTTTTACATAGGAAGTCATCCCAAACTGAGGCAATTAACTTTTCCTTACATCTTCCTAACTTGGAGAAAATGAGAACATTTTGAGAAAGCAGGAATTTGACAGCAGTCCTGAATCAGCTCCTCATGCAGTTTCTCTAGAGGTGTTGGACATGCTACACCTTAGTGACCATTAGACCATTAATGAACGAAGTCACAGCGAACAACTCATTCACCAGGAAGGCAAATTGTACTGTGAGATTTTGAGAAGCAGCATTTTCATTTGAAGGTGACTTTCTCTCCAGAATAATCACCTCCTCGCCACAAAGATAGCTTGCTCTTCAGTCCTTCACAGTAAGTTCAGCCTACAGAGACAATGAGGGCTGAGAAACGCTGCTGGAAGTGAAGCTGCAAGAGGCAGCACAGCACAGCAATCCATTTGTTACAGAACGTTCCCTCTGATCAAACAGGGAGCAGCAAGCAAACATTGTTTCTTTAATTTCCAAACCAAGGTAGGATTTAACAGCAAAGAAAAAGATGCTTCCTTTACCCTGGAACAGGCTCCCTGCCAACAGCGGATCTACAAAACCTCCACATCCACCATTTGAGTGCCAGCTCTCAGTTACCAAAAAACTGCATGAATTTCCACTTCCACCCTCTTCATACATATCACCTTAGCTACGTTAATGTAACAGACAGCTGAGAAATGAGATGACAACTGTTTACCTGCACTGAGAAAGGGTAAAAACCCACCCCATTGGAACATGGGAAAATCCTTCCCTCTGAGAAGTAGTAACTATTTAACACGCTTGTGTTAACCAGAACAAA